TCGAGACCACAGGTCTTTATAAAGCCCCATGGGGCTGTATCGAGACCACAGGTCTTTATAAAGCCCCATGGGGCTGTATCGAGACCACAGGTCTTTATAAAGCCCCATGGGGCTGTATCGAGACCACAGGTCTTTATAAAGCCCCATGGGGCTGTATCGAGACCACAGGTCTTTATAAAGCCCCATGGGGCTGTATAGAGACCACAGGTCTTTATAAAGCCCCATGGGGCTGTATCGAGACCACAGGTCTTTATAAAGCCCCATGGGGCTGTATCGAGACCACAGGTCTTTATAAAGCCCCATGGGGCTGTATCGAGACCACAGGTCTTTATAAAGCCCCATGGGGCTGTATCGAGACCACAGGTCTTTATAAAGCCCCATGGGGCTGTATCGAGACCACAGGTCTTTATAAAGCCCCATGGGGCTGTATCGAGACCACAGGTCTTTATAAAGCCCCATGGGGCTGTATCGAGACCACAGGTCTTTATAAAGCCCCATGGGGCTGTATCGAGACCACAGGTCTTTATAAAGCCCCATGGGGCTGTATCGAGACCACAGGTCTTTATAAAGCCCCATGGGGCTGTATCGAGACCACAGGTCTTTATAAAGCCCCATGGGGCTGTATCGAGACCACAGGTCTTTATAAAGCCCCATGGGGCTGTATCGAGACCACAGGTCTTTATAAAGCCCCATGGGGCTGTATCGAGACCACAGGTCTTTATAAAGCCCCATGGGGCTGTATCGAGACCACAGGTCTTTATAAAGCCCCATGGGGCTGTATCGAGACCACAGGTCTTTATAAAGCCCCATGGGGCTGTATCGAGACCACAGGTCTTTATAAAGCCCCATGGGGCTGTATCGAGACCACAGGTCTTTATAAAGCCCCATGGGGCTGTATCGAGACCACAGGTCTTTATAAAGCCCCATGGGGCTGTATCGAGACCACAGGTCTTTATAAAGCCCCATGGGGCTGTATCGAGACCACAGGTCTTTATAAAGCCCCATGGGGCTGTATCGAGACCACAGGTCTTTATAAAGCCCCATGGGGCTGTATCGAGACCACAGGTCTTTATAAAGCCCCATAGGGCTGCATCGAGACCACAGGTCTTTATACAGCCCCATGGGGCTGTATCGAGACCACAGGTCTTTATAAAGCCCCATGGGGCTGTATCGAGACCACAGGTCTTTATAAAGCCCCATGGGGCTGTATCGAGACCACAGGTCTTTATAAAGCCCCATGGGGCTGTATCGAGACCACAGGTCTTTATAAAGCCCCATGGGGCTGTATCGAGACCACAGGTCTTTATAAAGCCCCATGGGGCTGTATCGAGACCACAGGTCTTTATAAAGCCCCATGGGGCTGTATCGAGACCACAGGTCTTTATAAAGCCCCATGGGGCTGTATCGAGACCACAGGTCTTTATAAAGCCCCATGGGGCTGTATCGAGACCACAGGTCTTTATAAAGCCCCATGGGGCTGTATCGAGACCACAGGTCTTTATAAAGCCCCATGGGGCTGTATCGAGACCACAGGGCTGTCTGTATCGTGACCACAGGTCTTTATAAAGCCCCATGGGGCTGTATCGAGACCACAGGTCTTTATAAAGCCCCATGGGGCTGTATCGAGACCACAGGTCTTTATAAAGCCCCATGGGGCTGTATCGAGACCACAGGTCTTTATAAAGCCCCATGGGGCTGTATCGAGACCACAGGTCTTTATAAAGCCCCATGGGGCTGTATCGAGACCACAGGTCTTTATAAAGCCCCATGGGGCTGTATCGAGACCACAGGTCTTTATAAAGCCCCATGGGGCTGTATCGAGACCACAGGTCTTTATAAAGCCCCATGGGGCTGTATCGAGACCACAGGTCTTTATAAAGCCCCATGGGGCTGTATCGAGACCACAGGTCTTTATAAAGCCCCATGGGGCTGTATCGAGACCACAGGTCTTTATAAAGCCCCATGGGGCTGTATCGAGACCACAGGTCTTTATAAAGCCCCATGGGGCTGTATAGAGACCACAGGTCTTTATAAAGCCCCATGGGGCTGTATCGAGACCACAGGTCTTTATAAAGCCCCATGGGGCTGTATAGAGACCACAGGTCTTTATAAAGCCCCATGGGGCTGTATAGAGACCACAGGTCTTTATAAAGCCCCATGGGGCTGTATAGAGACCACAGGTCTTTATAAAGCCCCATGGGGCTGTATAGAGACCACAGGTCTTTATAAAGCCCCATGGGGCTGTATAGAGACCACAGGTCTTTATAAAGCCCCATGGGGCTGTATAGAGACCACAGGTCTTTATAAAGCCCCATGGGGCTGTATAGAGACCACAGGTCTTTATAAAGCCCCATGGGGCTGTATAGAGACCACAGGTCTTTATAAAGCCCCATGGGGCTGTATAGAGACCACAGGTCTTTATAAAGCCCCATGGGGCTGTATAGAGACCACAGGTCTTTATAAAGCCCCATGGGGCTGTATAGAGACCACAGGTCTTTATAAAGCCCCATGGGGCTGTATAGAGACCACAGGTCTTTATAAAGCCCCATGGGGCTGTATAGAGACCACAGGTCTTTATAAAGCCCCATGGGGCTGTATAGAGACCACAGGTCTTTATAAAGCCCCATGGGGCTGTATAGAGACCACAGGTCTTTATAAAGCCCCATGGGGCTGTATAGAGACCACAGGTCTTTATAAAGCCCCATGGGGCTGTATAGAGACCACAGGTCTTTATAAAGCCCCATGGGGCTGTATAGAGACCACAGGTCTTTATAAAGCCCCATGGGGCTGTATAGAGACCACAGGTCTTTATAAAGCCCCATGGGGCTGTATAGAGACCACAGGTCTTTATAAAGCCCCATGGGGCTGTATAGAGACCACAGGTCTTTATAAAGCCCCATGGGGCTGTATAGAGACCACAGGTCTTTATAAAGCCCCATGGGGCTGTATAGAGACCACAGGTCTTTATAAAGCCCCATGGGGCTGTATAGAGACCACAGGTCTTTATAAAGCCCCATGGGGCTGTATAGAGACCACAGGTCTTTATAAAGCCCCATGGGGCTGTATAGAGACCACAGGTCTTTATAAAGCCCCATGGGGCTGTATAGAGACCACAGGTCTTTATAAAGCCCCATGGGGCTGTATAGAGACCACAGGTCTTTATAAAGCCCCATGGGGCTGTATAGAGACCACAGGTCTTTATAAAGCCCCATGGGGCTGTATAGAGACCACAGGTCTTTATAAAGCCCCATGGGGCTGTATAGAGACCACAGGTCTTTATAAAGCCCCATGGGGCTGTATAGAGACCACAGGTCTTTATAAAGCCCCATGGGGCTGTATAGAGACCACAGGTCTTTATAAAGCCCCATGGGGCTGTATAGAGACCACAGGTCTTTATAAAGCCCCATGGGGCTGTATAGAGACCACAGGTCTTTATAAAGCCCCATGGGGCTGTATAGAGACCACAGGTCTTTATAAAGCCCCATGGGGCTGTATAGAGACCACAGGTCTTTATAAAGCCCCATGGGGCTGTATAAAGCCCCAGACCACAGGTCTTTATAAAGCCCCATGGGGCTGTATAGAGACCACAGGTCTTTATAAAGCCCCATGGGGCTGTATAGAGACCACAGGTCTTTATAAAGCCCCATGGGGCTGTATAGAGACCACAGGTCTTTATAAAGCCCCATGGGGCTGTATAGAGACCACAGGTCTTTATAAAGCCCCATGGGGCTGTATAGAGACCACAGGTCTTTATAAAGCCCCATGGGGCTGTATAGAGACCACAGGTCTTTATAAAGCCACATGGGGTTATATTTGTGTTCTTTATACCGCACAATGAGTGTGTATAATGGTCTGCATAGCATTTCGTCAATCAAATTTTCGGAACCACTGTACCTTGTTACGTTAAACGGAATTAAGAAAATCGAATAACAACAACAAAACGAAAAACTACACGAAAAATAAAAAATATTCGTGTGTGTTTATGTTGTTGTTTATTTCATATGTGTGTTTATATATATTTTTTTTCTTCGCACATTTGATTTTCAATGAGCATCAGTACCACTAACCCGGTGGTAATAACAGAAAAAAAGAAAACCCTCTTGGACTCTGTAACCGATCGACGACCGTTGCAACAATGACCTGTCGTCGCTCTTTGGAATATCTAGCGGCAGCATTGGCTGTTGGCGTGTCCATTGCATTGTTGGCATTCGCAATATCGGCCACACATTTCAAACATGAACAGGCCAAGCCGAACAATGGCAGCAATGGGCCGAGCGGTGAAAATAAACTTGGAAATATTAGTGAATCGCAATTGTTAATTGGAACAACAGATGTACCTATGACAACAATAACAACACCATTGCCACCATCATCACCGCCAACGTCATCTGAAGTCTCAACGCCATCACCACCACCATCAATTGTGAGCACTTTAATGCCCCCGGTTATGCCCAACATAACCACTTCAACAGAAAAAAATCTACTTGTGGACTTGACTACCGTTAGCCCAGCCGTAACACCAGTTACCTCGAATAGCATTCACATCGACAACGATGATTGGGATAGTTTTGAATATGCCATTGTTTCAACAACTTCCGCCTCATTGGATCCTTCAACAATAGAGGTAAGGGTGAGAGAGTGAAAGAGAGTTTTAGAAAATGATGGCTTTGAGGTGTAACGCATTATAAACTGAATTGTTAGACTTTTAAGTGGGCATAAATTGGGTAAAGTGTAACTTTTAGGAATGATTAACATTTTATGCAAATGACTTTATATTTTCTATGAGACAATATAGTCCTCTACGTTTGTAGCTGAAGATATTTATTTGTTTTGTGTTGGAATATCTGAGTGAGCCTTTGCCCATCTAAAAAGAGGCTACGTGTATTGTAGTCAGTATTTATACCATCGACACTATAATACAGCATTATTGAAGATGTTTTTGTCATCACTTTGATTTTATATCTGACATAAGCTTTACGATCACCCCTATAAGTATATTATTTAGGTCTTCAATGTAATTTGCAAAATTTGGTTATTTATATATTATTTTTGATGGCGGGCATGATAACTTCTCACTGAAACATCGGAATCCGGAAATCCCAAGGGATTATTGACTTCGCTCAAAAATTAGAAATATGGCGGACCTTTGATTTTTTTTTTTTTTTTTTTTTGAAAATCGGCTACATCTTCAAGAGTTCTTGAGATGTTCACTTGAAATTTTGTAGAGACATTCTTCAATTGGGGTAGATTCGAATTAAATCATTACATTTTTACACCGAGAATGGGGGGTCTCCTTAATATATATTACAGCATTCGAAAATTTAGGTCATGGCGAAAGCATGACAACTTTAAGGGTCGTCTTCTGTAACCTAAAAACGCAAATACAATTTTTTAATTGAAATACATTTTTTTCAGATCTTTTTTTGGCGTCCAATATAGGACAGCGTCTACATTATAATTATCAAATATTAGGTTGGGAAAAAAGAAATCCATTACAAAAATGTCGATAAAATCGGAGAAATGATCGAAGTTGACCGACATGTTAGCAGTCGTAACATCGCCCAGGAGCTAAAAATCGACTATAAAACAGTTTTAAACCATTTACACGAAGGATTCAAAAAAAGCTCGATGTTTGGGTGCCACACTCAATAACAAAAAAAAAAAATAGCATGGATCTAATTTCCATCTGCGAAGCCTTGGCCAAACGGAATGAGATGGAACCATTTTTTAAACGGATGGTGACTGAAGATGAAAAATGGATAACATACGATAACCCTGTGCGGAAACGATCGTGGTCAAAGAGCGGTGAAAAACCTCAAACGGTGGCCAAACGCTAAATGCTCATCTCTACTGTCAACAACTGTACCGTTTGAAGATAGCAATTGACCAGAAACGGCCAGAATTGGCCAACAGGAGAGGTGTCGTGTTCCACCAGGACAACGATAGGCCATACACTTCTACAGTGACTCGCTAGAAACTTCGGGAACTTGTTTAGGAAGCTTAATGCATCCACCATACAGTCTGGATATGGACCGATAAAATCGGAGAAATGATCGAAGTTGACCGACATGTTAGCAGTCGTAACATCGCCCAGGAGCTAAAAAACGACCATAAAACAGTTTTAAACCATTTACACGAAGGATTCAAAAAAAGCTCGATGTTTGGGTGCCACACCCATTAACAAAAAAAAAAAAAAAATAGCATGGATCGAATTTCCATCTGCGAAGCCTTGGCCAAACGGAATGAGATAGACCCATTTTTTAAACGGATGGTGACTGTAGATGACACTTCTACAGTGACTCGCCAGAAACTTCGGGAACTTGTTTAGGAAGCTTAATGCATCCACCATACAGTCTGGACTTGGCACCAAGCGATTATCACCTTTTTTTGCATTGCAAAATTTCTTCAATGATATCAAATTGGTTTCCAACGAGGATTGTGAAAATCGACTACTAGATTTTTTGCAAATATAGAGCAAGACTTCTATGAGAGAGGTATTATGAAATTACCTTTAAAATGGCAACAAATCATATAACAAATCGGACATTCCGAAGCATGTTAAATAATGTCCTATAGTTCATATAAAAAATGGATTTATTTTTCCCCAACCTAATATTAGTAATTATATATAACATGGCCAAAGCGTTGCATTTTTATGGCTCGCTACTTTATATCGGTCAATATTTATTCATAGCACCACTACCTACTAATTTTCGTATTTTTATTGATTAGAGTCAAATACAGAACTAATAAATATTGGTCTTTCAAATTGCGGTATTTAAAGATAGATAAGAGTTTTTAATATGACTCTAAGTCTTGGGGTTTTGAGATTTTAGAAAAAATCTTATACGATGTTTAGAAGATCTACAAATACAGTCATATTTTCGAAACAGAAGGTATTTAAAGTTCGCAACAATTCAGTTTTGGTACATTCATTTAAAGTATACCCATTTGGAACCGGACAAACGTAATAACCTGTTGTTAAATAACAATATGATGTTACCAGAGTTGAGTTATTTTTCCGTCAACAACTAAATAGCCCCACTTCCACCTCTATTTTAGAATGTCCCTATCCGAATATATCAATATAATTTATACCAATGTTACTGTTTATCAGCTATCCTGTCGTCCCTGCCTTGAACTTCAAGCAATATTTCGTATCGGCCAGTGGTTGACGTAAAAACAACATGTTGTTAAAGATCCAGCTTCATTTTCGGTATTTTGACGATTTTGACAACATTTTCCCACCGAAATTCAAAAACTCCTTCCAGAAAAAATTCAAAATATATTTTAAAAAGTATATTTTAAAGGTATACTAAACAACTTGCAAATATTAAATTTGCAATGGCATACAGACAGAGATAGCCCGTAAGGAATAATCAGAAATTTCTTAAAATATTATACCGAGGAAAAAATAAAATAATTTTAGAGGAACTTCGGGTAATGTGGACCACCATTTTCTTTTGTTTGATATTGTCAGCGTAACAAAGATATTAACAAACCCTGTAAGAAAAATCTAAACCGATTTTTTCAACTTTAATACGCATTACTCTAAACTCGCCTCTGCCAAATTTCGTGTAAATCGAATAAACGTGGGCTATTCGATGCACCATTTACATAAAATCGGACGAAATTTGATATGGGGGCTATATTTAAGAATTATCCGATTTCAACGAAACTTCACATACATTAAATTCACCTAGTTCAGTACTCTGTGCAAAATTTTGTCTCGATCGGAGAAATATTATGTGTTTAGATTTAGATCAAATCGGACGAAAATATATAAGGGAGCTATATCTAAATCTGAACCGATTTCCACAAAACTTCGTACACATCAATATGGACCTATTTTAATTCATTGTGCAACATTTTGTATCAATCGAACTGTCCTTGGGATTTTGGAAGCTATATCTAAATCAGAACGGAGTTTCACAAAACTTCGTATACATCAATATGGACCTAAGTCACTACCCTGTATAAAATGTTGTTTCAATTGGACAAATATTGGCTGTTTGGTGCACCACTAAGATAAAATCGGTCGGAAATTTATACGGGAGCTATATCTAAACATGAACCGATTTTCTCCAAATTTAAATGGGGTTTGTCCTTGGGCAAAATAAGTGAGCTGTGCAAAATTTCATTTAAATCAAATCATAAACGCGATCTGTACATTGTTCACAAAACTAAAGGGACGGACATACATAAATCAACTCAGAAAGTGATTCTATGCATATTCACAAAAGGAACCATGTGTCTTCTCGTTTCCTTTTGCTTGTTACAAACATATGCACAAAGACATAATACTTGAACCACAGTGTGGTGAAGGATATAAACATAGTAGATATGTTGTCTATATATATATTCCAGTTCAAACATTATATATATTTGACTATTAAAATATTATTGCATAATATTAGAGAAAAAACTCAAAACTTCCAAAAAAATTATTTGGTGGGTAATGTGGACTAGTATTTAAAGGTCCTAGCTTATCGAGTTTTCGGAGGACAGAATACCTCATCACACAATATTTTTAATATGGGTCACCATGAAAAGGTGCGTTTTTTATAGTGATTCACATTACCCGACTTTAATTTTTTTAATTTAAAAATAGTTTTCGATTGTAATTACAACTAAACGTATATACGGAAAATAAAGAACTAAAGTTCAAAATCATGTTAGATGTTTGTTTTCAATTATTATGATAACATATATCAAGACGGCATTGTCATATTTCAAGCATTTTATAAGATATGGCGGTGGTAGACATTAGACGCGTAGTCCACATTACCCGAAGTAAAAATAGTTTATATATATATATATATATGACGTTGATGTAAGAATGTAAGGTATACGAATTATAAGAAGTTCGGCTTAACGACATTTAAATTATGTTTTTTATTATCCGCCACACCAAAACAAACCCACTTTTCTCTTCTTTCATTTACATTCATTAAGCATTCATATTCAATTATTGTAAAATAATTTTCCAGAAATTGTTCGTACAATCCAGACAAAAGCTAAAACGCAATTTAACAGCAATCCTTTTGTATTTTCTTTTATTTTTGTTGTTTTGTTGTTGTTGTAATTGTAAACATGATGATATAATGGGGACAACTTTCATCTGAACAAATACAGATTGTTTTGCTGTTGTTGTTGTTTTTGTTGTCGATCTTTGTATTGTTTTTGGTATGCCCCAAACATGAATTTATAGACAATGTGAACGAACGCATTTATGCAGCAATTTTATACCCTCATAAAAATATTGAATAGCAAATAAAATTGTAAAAAATATTTTGGTTTGTAATTGTATGAAAAAATGGAGAATTTACAATGATGTTAATAACATTAATTAGGGGAAATTTTACAAAAGTGAAATTTACTATGAGGGATTGATTGTTAAAGGCAGGTGTAAAATAAAAACAGCTATAGGTTTGCACTGTGCAACACAAAAAATATTCCGAAACTCTAAAAAATATTATAGGGGGCTAAAATAGAAGACACGTGTATCGACATTTGAATGTTTACGTTTGAATGTTTGTCTCAAATTTACGTTTATATATTCGGTATATATTATATATAGCGAATTCTCTTATTCAGTGACTTATACTATAATTTCATAGAGAA